CAGATCCTATTTCCATTATAAAATAGTTATCGAGACACACACACACACACACACACACACACGCGCGCGCGCGCGCGCGCTCACACTCACGCTACGCCGGCGGTATCATCGAAAACTACCAATATTGATATCACCTTAAAAAATGCCTCTTTTATGTTATAAAAGTAACAACAGACCCATATTGGGTCCACCATCTTGAATTTTTGATAACACTAACAGCAAATGCGTAATCAACAACATCATAACTCCCAATAATCAATTCTAAAAATTGAATCCCACTACAAAAAAATGCGTACAGGAAGGCTTTGGAAATTCATGCATTTTACATATACATAAACGCAATAACCGTCATATTCAGGATGCCATAGCAAAAAAACTGTCCATTTTCAAGGCTTCGGCCTATGAAGACTTTTGATCGGCATGACTAAAACTATAAAATAGCACAGTTTCAGGGCATTTGACCGAAACCCATTTTCCATAAGATTCTTGCGGGGTCCTTTAACCTCAATATTAAATGGTTTTAAAATGGCGAGCGATAAGCAATTTATTCGACACTGCGTTCCATGCGAATTTTATCAAGAAAAAAGTTCTGTTAAAGCATATGAATCAATTTGTTTTGTTCTTGGAGACAATGTTGTAACATACGTGTGAATTTTGGTTTAGGCGATTTAAAGAGGATGATTTTGATGTTAGCGATAGAGAACGTAATGATGCTTCTCAAAAGGTTACAGACAATCAATTGCAAGCATTATTTGATCAAAACTCATATCAAACACAAAAATAACTTGCACAGCAACTTGGAGTAATTCAACAAGATATTTCAATTCGTTTACAGCAGATGGAAAAGATTCTGAAAGAAGGAAAGTGAGTACCGCATGCATTAAGTGAAGAAAACAAAAATGATCGTCTTGAGAAGTGTTTGAATTTGTACAATAAACAGTATAGAAAACTTTTTTTGGAAAATCGTGACTAGTGACGAAAAGTGGATTTTTTTACGATAATCCTAAAAAGAGGAAACAATCCGGGATAACCCACTGCATCAATGCGAAAACACAACATCCATAGCAGCAAGTTATACTATGCATCTGGTGGGACATAAAGGGACATCACTATATGAGCTGCTCCACTCGAATGAAACGGTTAACAGTGATCGCTACAGTTAACAATTGATCCGTTTAAATCAAGAAATCAAACGAAATTGTCCATTTTCTGGCAAAAGAAGACGTCCCGTGAAATTATTTCATGACAACGCTAGGCCTCATGTTGATGAAGTGTAAAGGAAGCGTTGCTAGCGCTTAGTTGGGAAATTCTACCTCATATAGCCGGCGTATAGCCCAGACATAGCTCCTTCAGACTATCATTTATTACGGTCAATGCAAAACGCCTTGTCCTGTGTACACTTTCGAACATTTGAAAAAGTGTGAAAATGGGTAGATAATATAATTTTATCGCGTCGAAAGACGAAATCTTTGCTTCTAGAATTTGCAAGGCTATTACTTAAAAATATTGCGAAGAATATTACTACGTCGACTTGCCAGCAGAGGTCTATGGATGTTCGTAAAGTTTCTCGCAAGTGCTGAAATACGCGCATATCTGTATATATAGAATCTCGATTTAAGAACTAAAACAGGCGTCTAAGGTAGGCTCCCACTACATTACCTTACTGATGAGTCCAGTAGTGGAAGCCGGGACGAAACGCCAACTTGTAATATTCTTCGCAATATACTAAATTAATTTTAAAGTATTCGGTTGCGGCTGTTGAGGACTTTGTAAAGTCGAAACTGTCCGTATATACCGGTATTATAATAAATTTATATATATTTCTAACATCTAGTATAAGCTCAATGTGTTCTTGACCTGGGAGGTATATTAAATTTAGATAAAAAGGTTTAAATTTTTAGTATCTTTTTTTGAACATGGCTTGAACTTTTCATTTTTTTAAAATTATTTACAAATTTTTAATATGTCATTCTTAGATTTTAAGATGTTATTTCAACGTATTATTAAGATCCAAAGATGCAATAACCATCAAAAATTATTAATTTAACTCGTGGTAGTACTACGATAGTTCATTAGTTTGTGTTGTAAATGTAAAAAATTTAGGGATCTACATACGTAGTATATAAATTCACGCAAAATATATTAAAGCATTTTAGATCCAGCTTGACCGTAAATGGCTTATTCTCGTCGGTATTTAGTTTGAAACTTTCACGGTCCAAATAAGAGTTTGTATTATTTATTTGTCTGGTAGTTATTTCAATCAATATTATTTTATGAAATAATTTATTATTTACTTTTCGTTTTATTTGTAATAACAACTTTTAATGCAACATCTTTTTGTAGGCAGGTAATAAGAATACAGCAAAACACGGTATGCTTAATGATGTAATGAAAACAGACTCGAACAACTTTTGTCAATCTTTAAATACAAAAATAAGTGCGCAGTCTACAAGGGATGCTGATTGATCTTTATCAACGTTTAACAGTAACTCGAGGTTGCATTATATTTCTGTCATGGAAACTATTTTTAAAGATTATGTGAACAAATTAAGAGATAATAGCGACGGAGTATTTTCCGATCTTGAGCGTTTAATAAAATTAAAGAGTACCAAGAATGTCTCACAATCAGCTTCAGTTACTTGCGAATCAGAATCTGAAGATGAGACAATTGGTTTTGCAGATAAAGTTACAAGTAAAGTGAACCACAAGCAAAAACCTGTTACAATGTACATTGACATGGATTACTTTTTCGTATCGGTGGAAATTAAAAGTAGATCGGAATTGCAAGGTGTAGCAATTCCGGAAGCAGTAACGCACTCAAGAGGTAACACGTTTTCTGTAAATTACGACGGCAAGGAAGAGTTTGGATCAATATCGGAAGTAGCTTCGTGCTCGTACGCAGCGAGAAAGGCTGGCGTAAAGAATGGCATGTTTCTGGGAGAGGCATTAAAACTGTGTCTAAACTTGAAAACAATTCAGTACACGGACAATTAGGTGAAACTCGTAGCACAACGCTGAGTAGATATCTCAGCTCGGAGCGTAAGTTACAGAAACAACCAATACTGAAGGATCAGTATGTTCAATTCACGAACGGTTACCTGGCCTTAGGGCATATGAAACGCATCAGCAACGAGCAAGAATTGGCGCGTAATCCGTGCTACTACATACCTCATCACGCTATATTGAAGAGTGATAATTTAACAACTAAGCTTCGGGTAGTATTTGATGCGTCGTGTAAGAGTAACAGCGGAGTGTCTCTTAATGAATGTCTTTCCATGAGACCTATCCTAAAAGATTTGTTTTCAATTTTGCTACGTTTTCGTACTTTTCAATATGTTATTACGGCTGACATTACTCAAATATACTGCCAAGTGCTGATAGACGAATCGCAAATACCACTTCAGACAATTCTCTGTCGAACTGATTCAAGTGAAGAGATAGCAGCATTTGAATTAAAAACCGTAACGTACGGTATAACATGTGCATTCTTTCTGGCGGTGAGGACTATGCAGGAATTAGCCAGCATATACGCATCGACTTATCCAGTGGATTCCAGTACAATCATCAACGATTTCTACGTCGATGACCTGTTATCAGGAGCTAATACTGAGTAGGAAATCAAAAGAATACGAGACGAAACCATCAAGGTACTTGGGAGGCTTTCATCTTAGGAAATATTCGTCTTATTGCTCTAAACTACTACTGGACGTACCCTGTGCCGATGTTTATGGCCCGTTCATTTCATCAATACTGAGCAGAAGGTTTCTACGTTAGGTATGCATTGGAGCACAAATGAAGACTCTCAGTACCACATCAATTCTTCTGGCCATTCAAAAATCACGAAGCGCATCATGTTATCTTCATTGTCAAAGATATTCAACCTCTTGGGTCTCTTACAGCCTATAATACTGTAACGATGCCCCCCTAAAATGCGTCGTCCCTATGATGCCAGCCGAAATAAGGGCGCAATGCGCCTGTACATATGTTAACAATAATTCGCAGGGACAGCAGCCACCGAAACCGCCAGTCTCGTCGGAAAATGCCGACCGTCGCCGAGGACCGCCGATCGGAAATCTTCTCCCACGAGAAGCCGATCAGCGGAGAAAATCGAGGATAGTCGGAGCAATTCGAGCGAGACTGGCGGTCTAGTATAAAATACCGCGTCGACAAGACGTCGAGACCATTTTTCCGCCGTTTTTTCTTGCTCCTAGAACACGATCACCAGCTCCTAGACCACGATCCTAGACCGTGCTCCGAAGCCGTCTCAAAGACTTGCTCACTCCGACAAACCTGAGGGGTAGGGCGTATCCTGCCTTTGCCGGGCGTTCCCGGCCGCCGGACGAGCTGTCCAAGATACAAATTCCGAGCACGCGAGTCAAGTGCTAGACTTGTAACGTGTTGTTCCGACAAACATGAGGGGTAGGGTGTACCTTGCCTCTGTCGGGCGTTCCCGACCGCCGGACAACCGCTACAACTATTGTCACCACCTTCCGCTCATTCTTTTCCGCATCCCGTATTTTCCTTCCCGATACTTGACATTCGAAAAGGGGTAGGATGCTCCTTGCCTCCGTCGGGTGTTCCCGGCCGTCAAGTATCGGATCCATTTTCCTGCCGTCAATCATTATCGGAATACGCGTCGCTCCGCGAAATCTTAAGCCCGTTCTACATTAGTTGCAAGCACCCAATCGCATGAGCGCAAACAATAAGAAGTCGCGGAAATTTTGCGGGTTAATGTCTATATTGCAGTTATAAGTCGCAGTACAAGAAATTAAAAATGGATGCCGAACAACGTTGATTATTTTTGATACTTTGTAATGGATTATTGTGTTATGCAAAGTTACTGTTATTATTGAAAAAAAAAACGAAAGAGAAGATGGTGGATTCGTCCTTTAAATAATTATGAAAGGCATCGCAATGTGGGTTTTCATATGAATTTATTTAACGAGATCAGACAAACTGATCATGAGCAATTTTTTATGTATACGCGTATGTGGCCACATATGTTTAATGAACTTTTAACTCGAGTTCGTCCGTTTTTGGAGAAAAGTGGTCCACGGCGTCCACACTCTGTAGAACTAAAGTTGGCTTTAACTTTATCGTAAGTAGAGTTTGTAGGTTAGAATGAGTTATGTCATTATATTTATTGATAATTATGTATATGTATCTAAATATTTACGTATCTAACATTTCTTTCACACTTTGTATAGGTTTCTTGCACATGGTGACAGCGTAAATTCCAAAGCGTGGGAATTTCGTATTGGACGCTCTACTGTATATACCACTATTCACGAAGTCTGTCGTGCATTGTGGCATACACTTCAACTAATAGTTCTTCCCGAACCTAATGAACGGAAATGGTCTGAAATTGCTGAAAGTTTCTTCGAGAAATGGCAGTTTCCGAATTGTGTGGGAGCTCTCGATGGGAAACACATTAGAATTCAAGCTCCAACCCATTCAGGAAGTCAATTTTTTAATTACAAGAAGTACTTTAGCATCGTTTTCTTAGCAATATGTGATGCAAATCATAAATTTGTGTGGGTGGACATTGGGCAATATGGTAAATAAACATTCCTTGTATTGGAAATTCAATTATATGGTTGCAATGTTTTAAAAACATTAATCCATGATTCTTCTTCCATATTTTTTACAGGGGGTATCAGCGATAGCGGTGTATGGAGTAACACTGAATTAACAGCCAGAGTTCGAGAAAAAACTGCTGAAATTCCAGGTCCTCAGCATCTCCCAGGGACAGCAATTAAAACCAATCATGTGTTTTTAGGCGATGAAATATTCCCTCTTGATCTGCATTTATTAAAATCTTATAATAAAAAAGAATTAACTGATAATCGACGGATTTTTAACTATAGATTGTCAAAAGCACGCCTAAGTATTGAAAATACATTTGGTATTCTTTGTGCACGCTGGCAAATTCTCAATAAACCTATAAAATTCTCTTTAACTAATTTGGAGGAAGTAACAAAAGCTTTAATTTGTTTACATAATTATATTATGATGATGGAGGAAAGATTTGAAATACCTCAGCGACGCTATTGTTCACAAAATTTTGTCGATCGTGAAAATGCAGATCATGAGATAATGGAAGGAGTATGGCATGGTATAACAGAAAAAGGAACATTATTCGAGAATATCCAAAAAATGGGAGGCAATTCAGGCTCGAATCCTGCTAAAGCACAAAGAGACGTCTTGTGCGAATATTTTGTAACAGATGTTGGATGCAAACAAACCCCCTGGCAATACGAATACGTTTTTAGAAGTGCCAACATTAATACGTAGATGTAACTAAAATTTACAATTTATGTTTTTAATCTATTACTTGATTAATTGGTGATAAAAATAATTATTTTAAAATGTCACCTTACGTTACTATAATTCTGTCATGACTGTTTTTGTCAGATAAGTTACAGTTACAAATTTGACAAGTTAGGCATATGTAAAATAAATAGTGAATGAGTGGGAAAAAAATATTCTAAATGCAATAATTTATCGTTACCTTTATTGTTAGTTTATTATAATACTAGCCACATAAAAGTTTTAGTAATAACTATTCTGATATTATTCATCACAAAGTTTATATATATTTTATAGATTATATAGATTTTAGTATTATATAGATTTTAGTATTATATAGATTTTAATTCACAACAAAGTTTGCATATATATATGTAATAGCATTTTTCATGGGCAGAACTAGTACGCACTCAGTACACTTTAGAATCGTACATAAATCGATGTAAAGATGTACACATATGTTTAATAAAAATACAGAAACGAATTAAACCTCGAAATTCTCAATAGATTTTATTATGCTATTTGATAAAACATACTTTAAGGATCTCATCAATTGAGATACTTCATTTTTACATTTAGTTTAGAATAGTACTCAAGTGCACAAGTTCTACCAATGAAAAATAAGGTAATGATGGCAATCCTGTAAAAGCATTTGTTTTTATTTTTTATAATATAAAAATAAATTTTATAATAATTTTATAATATAAAATTTTATAAACATTCTACTTTGAATAATCATATATAAATTATAAAAACAATAATGTGATCCGAATCGAAATTTTTTGATCCTACTTTGAATCTTATAGTTTTAGGACGTATACAGACTCTAAATAGATTTCATAATAGGGTCTCTCGTCTAATGAATTGAGCTCCTACGTTGAACCTGTAAATGACAATTATTGGAAAATTTCCTATTTTTAGGTAGTTTCTAAATAATAAAACTTAAAGACATAACTGCATTTAAAAACTCAACACTTAGGGCGACTGTTACCAACTTAATCGACGATTAGTATTATAATTATTGACTTAATTGACGATTAGTCCATTGGAATTGACCAATCGCGTCTGTCGTCAAAACTAAATGATAAATGCGATTGGTTAATTCCAATGGACTAATCGTTGATTAAGTAAATCGGCGTTGGTAACAGTCGCCCTTATTTGCTAATTATTTGTTAATTCATATGTCAACTAAACTTTGGTCATAAATTATATATGTATTGATACTTTAATACTGATACTTTAATACTGTGCAACTCTAGAAAACTGAAGATGACTCTAATTTAAAGTCAATAATAAAATAAAACTTATTTTTTATTTTCGTAATTCTTTAAAATATTTAATATTTCGATAAGGCACTGTGTTCTCTGTTGTGTACAGACTCTTTGAAACATTGATTTGATGATTTGCATGAAACTTTCTATCTCTGGATCTATATTGGGTGCTCTCTCTTCTTGATGCTGAATATTTCCAATGGATGGTTGAGTAACCATCTGCTGACTGATAGTGACTAATGTTCCTACCAGTTTATTTAAATTATTTGTGTCATCATCGTTTTTAATTTTCTTTTTTCGATAGGAATCATCCGGAGATGGTGTCCGAATGATGTGTCTCTTTGTGGAATGTTTATAGGTGGAGATAGAACTGCAATCTGTGCTTGATCTATTCTGATTCTCTAAAATACAATATTTCGTAAATTATTTCATATTAAAAACTGACAAACAATAATTTAATGTATATGCAGCTATTTAATACCTGTAAGATTGCCAGATAACATATTTTTTATTTGATTCGATTCTTGTAAATCACATTCTTCCACAAATTGAATATTTATGTCATCGAATGTATCATTTTGTCGCAACTGAGTGCTACAGGTTGGACTGGAATGCAATTGTGATATCAAGCGACGCGGTAGCGTCGCGACGCCAAGTGCATAAAATAAAAATATAACTGTTTGACTGCTTGACATGATCGCTTGACTTGATTGATGCGTGTATATGTTCATGTCGCTGTCAAATTCACGACGCTACCACTAGCTTTATCTCGAGTTTTCACATCTTCAAACTTTAGATTAAAATTACTCAGAATTTAAAAAGCCCAATCAAAAATCTAAAAATACTTTTATTACATAATGTCATCGGTATCTTTCGATTGCGACCAGTTCGAATAAAATTGGTGCAGCCGATACCGAGATCTAGAGACCGAGTCCCAAAAAGGGACCGTTTCAGTCATTTCAGAAGACGTACGTGTGACACATACATGTATTTTTTAATCGTACGTGTGACACATACATGTAAACCGGTTTGTCCATTAGGCTGCTGTTCACAATGTCTACATTCAAAAAACAGTCATCATATGTGATTAAGCTGCTGTTCCTAATAAAAATATATAAATTTAATTTAATTATTAATTAAATAAATAAAT